AAGTTTTTTTAACGGTCAGTAGTAGAATGAGGTGCAAGGTAACTGATCTTGATCTTCCTTCCAGACGCACTTCCAGCATTGCTGTCAAACTTACGCCTGGAACACAAGTCTAGAAGTGAGTCTTCGAGGCTATAGTGTGTAAGATGTCGTATTCTTTAACAGTAAGCCGATGCACGCATTGTATTTAACTTAACGCTAGTGTCAGTCAACAAAATTCGAAACGTTAAAGATCTGATGACGTCACCCGATTTTTGTGAAAAAAATCGGGAACGCAATTTGTGAACAGTTCCTAGGGACTGTTCATAAAATGCGTAACGTTTTAGGGGGAGGGGATCCAATGGAAATCGTACGCAATTCTGTTTTTGTGGATTGAGGAGTAGGGACCTACGCAACAACCCTAAATCGTTACAAAGGGGGAGAGGGGGTCAAAAAATCAGAGATTGAGTTTTACGCATTTAATGAGCGGCCCCTTACTTATAATGCAATTCGTTATTTGTCCCTGAATCGTTCGGCCTTTACTCGAAAAATTAACGTATTGATCTTTGCCACTGTTGTTAGGTAATTCGAATAAAATTAGAGAGATAATAAAATGAAACAAAAACACGGTTACTTTCGCACAATTTATTTCTTTCACTTTCATTGCTCTTCTCTTCTTCTTTTTACTATTTTCTTGGTTTTCGTTTTTTTCTTCTCTCCGTTTACTCCATGATAATCGCAATCACTAATATACAGCTTAGTAGTTGATTTTCGATATTCTCGTCTTAAGCAATATGTCAGCATCAATCACCCCTGACACTCGTATAAGATTTTTTTTTTTTTTTTTTTTTTTTAAATGACAAAGGGTTCTTCGTCAAAAAACTGAATGCAAGCTCATATGTTTTTCATAGCTTAATGTCGTGATTAATCTTCTTACATATTATATATCAAAATGTAAACGCATGAACTGCCTAACATTATAGCATGTTACAATCTTACCGTAGATTTTCGAAAAAATCGCCGGCAAAAGCGTCTACTACGCGCGGCGTGATGAACGCTCAAATAATGCATATTCCGAAGCTTGAGCGAAATAGAGGTCAAAATTGCGAGTAAACGTATCCGGGTGTAGGGTAAGCGGACGGATTTTAACTATGCATCACTCGTAAGATTTACAGCTTTAAGACTCACGCCCTACAATAAACCACGTATGTATCTGCGCCTTGCGACCTGATAACGTGACGATGCGCGAAACGAAAATACGTGAGGCGAATTTCATCGCCCAATCGATTCGTCATTGGGCTAGGTCAGTGCCCACACCTGACTTAGCATCCACAAAATGTCTCGCCAATTCAGATTCAGGAGTGGCTATGACTCAACGTTGCAAGACTTTAGGTATGAATGCTCGGTACATTTGTACATTTTTCATTGGAATATCAGCAGATATTTTAATTCTCATTTTTTCATTTTAAAATCTAAAAATTTTAAGCAGATAATACAAATGATATCGAATTGATTTATATTCAAATGCAGTGAAATATATTTTTGAAGCTAAACCCATCTGACCCAGAAATAAATATGTAACATTTTTTTCGAAAACGAAAATTATAAGAAGCGATAGCTACCTCGTTAAGGCTATGAGATCCGCGATGGGAACCCGGGGAATTTGTATCACCATTATACATGCATTTAACGTTGTTAACTTGTTATACTTGGTCACAGATGATATTTTTTGAAATGTAGTAATAATAGAAACTGCAAGAAAGCACGTGGTCAGAGATGGTTGTTGCATTTGGTCTTTATTTATTAACGTATTAAGTCAGTAAAATAATGTTTTATTTTACTGACTCTTCCCGTAATGTTATGCATAATTCCTTTAGCAAGAAATCAATTTGAAGCTCAAAATAAATCAATACTATAGGGTTACCAATCTCTGCTGCATTCCATTAAATAATTTGCATTTACTTAATTCGATACGAAAAATAATAATAGTAAAGAGAGGAATGCTTAAATTGCAGTTCCTATTTTTTCAGGTATTATCATTTTTCCATTTATTTTTTAAACCCTAGTACACAGCGCAATGCTAAGGCTCTAAAATGTTACGCCGCTAGAGTCTCAGAATTATTATATGAGAAAGTCAGATTTAATTTGACAACCACCTGCTATTCCACGTCATCTGGAATAAAAAATCAATCGACTATCCTCAATGTCCTCCTTGTTGACAGCTACGGATGATCCTCAATGCAGGGGGCCAGATTTTCCGTTTTATTGGATAATTTGTCTGTTACGTTAAGTTGACGTCCTGACACAAACGAAAATGAATCGTGTGATCAATCTCCTTCAGAGGTGTTTGACATTTCATTCTTTTCACGGTGAATAGAGATTGGAAATCAATAATGCTTGCCTGATTGTGCAGATAAAATACTGTCAGTGAATGCACTCGTCAAAAAAAAAAAACTGCTAGATTTAACTCCCTAGATAAGAATATACCTCCCGCTGATTGATTTGAAATCAGAATGGGCACTTTTTGTTCAGTCATTCTATGTTTTGGAGATTCTTAGATTTGATCTTTTAGATCTGTTTCTAATGTGACCAACTTCTGTTAAAAAATTTTAAGAGCCTCGATAGGGTATCAATTAATGCTGTTTGGAATGAAATCATGAAATTTCAGTATTGATTTGAAAATTTGAGCATGTATGGTTGTTTAAGGCTTTAAAGTTCATCCGGTAAAAAGTCGATAGGGTTCCTAATCTAAAGTACTTGGTATCACCACCAATCGCTCCAAATATGAGTTAGTGTATGTAAATATATTTGTCTTTAGCCAAAATTTTTCAAAAAAGTTTAGCTGTTTTCCCAAATTTTCCAAAAAATTAGGTAGTTTTGACTTTAGATGTTTTTGCCTCAAAAATCAACATTATTTTTTAGTAAAAGCCATGGATAAAGCGTTTACTGCGACGGTGATTTTTTCCCAAAGTGAGTAAGTTTTGACGCAAGATTATAAAAACTGATTCAAATGAAAAAAAAAATCTGATTGACATTCAAGGGGAATTTCTTTCATTTTAATCAAACAATTCAAAGTTTTGATACGCTTTTTTCGATTTCGCGTTTTTTCGTGCATCTTAATCAACAATACTTTCGGAGCGTTTGTTCCGTAATCGAGATGACAAATGTTCGTCAAGATTCTCAAAAAATTTTGCTCTTAGGTGCGACAGTGATCAAAGAGATGTCTTGGGCAAAAATAACTAATCCCGTAAGATATTTAAGCCTGTTTAATTTCAGGTGAAAACATAGGTACCTAATGTGATACTTCACTGAGAGGGAGAGAAGCAACGATGTGAAAGCAGGGTCTGTCTGCCAGATATTTTTATGGCTCACAAATAAACTGGGAGGATTGATTATGTACTAGGTCTGGAAGCAGTTTCATTATACTTGATATTCCTCTCACTCACACGCATGGGCGGCGTTGTCACTCGCAATGATAAATCCGATTTTCACACATTCACCATCAGTAGTGTTCGGAGTGCGTGTTTTCTATAAACGGCACCGCGGCTAACGCAGCTTGCATAGCTGCGAGCCATCGAAAAACTACTTCCACTCCGTGTCGCGGGACATTGATTTGTGTCCTTATCCTGTTACAATACTTTCAATCCGGTATCCTTTTCTGTCGCGACGAACTTTCTATTTTCTCTCTTCCTCCTCTCCTTTCTTCCGCGCCCCGCCTTTGCTGCCCAGCCCCTGATTACCGAATAAATGTCACTGATATTCAATTCCAGTTCAAGCGGAATGAATTTTTGTGCGCCTCTCCGAAAGAGACAGCGCGTCGTCCTTGTCACGGGGGGGGGGGGGACAAATAAATATCGAATAAGAAAAGGTTTAGTTTACCTTCTTGTTCCGCGTTCAAGTCACTCTCGACCCCGCTCGTTTTGAAACTAGTTTTCTCGAGATTATGAATACTTTGACAAGTGTTAATCTCCTATAACGAGTGGTAGGATCGAAACCGGATAGGACCCACATTGACCCACTTCCAATCCCGCTGTCCCAGTCGGCGTGTCACCATTTAATGTACTACTCTTCGATTTTGTTCCGAATTATAGGAACCATATAGGATTTTTTTTCTCTTTCTTCCTTTTTTTTTCTAATTGGAAATGTCGTGTGAGCGAGATTCGGTCGATTTATCATGATCAAGAGACCTACTTCGGGGCAACTTTTCAAAATGGATTTCGAATCATTCATTTCTCTCGTCTTGGCTGTTGGAAACTTTAAAAAAGCTCCGATAATTGGCTTCCACTTCCGTTGGTAGCTGGAAACAATCAATCTTCAACGATTTGAAGTTTTGACCCGATTATTATAATACGAGAAATAAATACGTAGACAATATGACTATTCGTAGAAACGTCTGTTTAACTGTATAGACGACACATTTATGAGTGTGATCATGATATGATTACTCACTTAAGAATAGTGAAGAGTTAATTTCTTCCTATTCCATCTACCCAAATAGTATGAGCGTTTCATAGAGAAATACATTAAATCAACACACTAAATTTTGTGATTTGCAGTAAGACCTTAAAAGCTTGTCAGTTTCGGAGCTGCACAATGAAATCTCTCGAGTAGACCGATTAAGATTTTCCAAACCAAGAACGCATATTTTACAAAAACCAGTAACATTTAGTGTGTTTCAACGCATCAGATTCCGCATTGCTCGTACAATTATTGACTTCTTGGTTTTCACAACTAATGTAAACTAAAGTATCCGAGCCATAATTGCGCGAATCGACTTTCCTGGGAACATTCGTACATCATAATTTTGAGTAAAAATCGTTTCAAAGTATCAAGAATTGTTAGACAAGTAACGCCAGCACTCAATTTTTAGTTTACTTACTGTTTCAACCGTGAAACCTCATGTAATTATTTGAGGTCGCCTCCTCAGACTCCAAAATTTTGTTCATTTCAGAGGCATTGTGTCATCAAATTGTTTTCGACTATTGTTTCAAAATTTTATGAGAATTTGAATTTGTTTGTTACAGCCCGTAAGAAGAAGCCAAAGAAGATCCTGCTGCCCCTTCTCCTTCTGTTGAAATTCAAGGCTGCCGCCCTCATCCCCTTGGTACTAGGAGCTCTCGCCCTTCTTGCCCTGAAGGCCCTCATCGTCGGTAAATTGGCCCTGGTTCTCTCAGCCCTCATCGGTCTGCAGAAGCTCCTGGCTAGCAAACACCACACCCAATCCTATGAAGTAGTCGCCCACCCCCACTACTCAGAGCACGACCATGGACACTATGCCCGATCTCTGAAGGACCCCAGCGAAAAGGCCTACAGCGCCCACGACCCCAGCAAAAAATCGCAATAATTTAGCCCTCTTACCTAGTTTAGACACTGCCGAGTCGGGTGCGACGAACTTTCTTGCTCAATCCCGATTCGGTTAGACTTTTCAATTGATTACCAAAACTTAGGTGTCCCTACCCGAAGTTGAACTTTTGAAAGTATCACGCTCATCCCAATCACTTCAGGTGTTAGTTTTGAAAAATGTTAAACAATTTAAGAAAAAGTCTTGTTCAGGTCCGAGCTCTTGCGAGCTCGAACTCTTTCTAAAGCTGCAGTGTTAGCACATAACAAAGATGTCCACGCGACGTCTTTCCTCAGGTAGCCGACAGTCGGTATTCCAGTTATTTAATTATTTAATTTATTTCATTAATTTATTTCAACGGACTTTCTCTTTCTCCTCTCTAGTAGTTGCAACACGAAATGCTCAAAACTTTAATGTTAATTTATTTATTGACTTATTTATTTTAACTTATGCGTGCAAAAAGACTCTGTATTAATTTAATTTAATTTTAGTTAAGACCCTAGTTAGGTTAGAATTTTGACGACTAAGAATAGGAAATAAGTGCCAAAAGACGAATCAGTTTTGAAATGACTTTAAAAAAAAGCGTAAAATTACTGCTCAGTAGCCTAAGAATTGGTGTATTCTGAAACACTGTCAGTGCTTGCTGTAAGTAGCACGTTCCAAAACTGACATGTTTTCGAGAATTTCCCGTAATTTATTTTTTATTAATAAGCACAATTTATTTGGCGCTCTAGTAAAACCAAAGATATTTAAACTCACTTGACATGTATAACTTCAAACATTCCTTTCAATATTAACACACATGCAATAGGAATTATTTACTTGAAATGTGACTTTGACTATGTTCTATCACTATTCGACTATCTTTAATTTTTTTTTACATTTTCCTTGTTCAACCACGGCAGGAAGATGAAGCTCGAGAGACACTCAGTAGACTCTTGTCCTCAGTAGCTTAAATTCGATCTTAATTTCTTCACTGTCAATTTTTGTTAAGTTTCCTTTTTCTATGATATTTCCTACACTGACTCAAAAACCAATAATGCACGCAGACACTATTTTCAACTGTTAAAAACATACATTTTTACAAATTGACATCAAACTGTTGAATTTAGAACGGATATCGCTTAACTACAATCAAAGAGAATACTTATCAGTTAATTGGTTTAAATCTTCATCATAATTTACTTCAAATATCAGCTTTACATCTACCCCCTTAGCTCACACCCTTTTAGTTGTGGTTGCACATCTGTTTAGTGGTGTAGTAGTCGTACAAATTAAATGCTTATCTTACCACTGCCCAGCTTTCGATACAATTTTGTAACTTTTGCTCACATATACAACAGTATACGACGCGGGTTAGCTAAATAGCCAACCTAATGTTTTTGTAAACGAGTACCTGATGACGTAAATTATTCAGTATTTTCTGAGTACCGTTTGACAAAAACACTGCCGAGGAATCGGTGCAATTTTGGAGGTAGTTTTCCCGCTTCTAGATTCAACACTTAGATAATAACTTACTAGAGATAGTTAGAGATAGGTACAAACACGGAACTGACTACTGACTGAACGCTTTGACTTTACCCCGGGGCTGCTCGTATGATAAAATCCACGCAAATTGAGAAGTTAATTCTAAGTGAAGATTCAAAAGCCCTGACCTACCGTTTATTCGGTCTCTGCAAAGACTCCGTAACTCTCAGGAACTTGCGAGGTTTTTGCAGGGATCAGTTGATATGTTCGATCGTGCGAAAGTTACCAATTTTTTTGTTGGTAGCTTTCACACAATCTAACTTCACTGACTTTGGGAAAACTGAACGTTTCGCTAGATTGCTCGTAAATCTAGTCGACTTTTTTCTTTTGTACAGTTGGTATTGCGGTGATCTGTCACGAAAAGCGGTATCCGATCTCGAACGGCTCGACCGTTTTTAACCGTAAGAGTCGTATTGAATTTGATACTGGACAGCGTTTAGCAAAAAACTATTTCCTGAAATTTAACATGAGTCCAAAACTGAGTTATCATGCCTTCGGCTGATGTTTAATTGAAGGAAATGTTTTCGTTCACGCTGTCCTCATTTAGTGCAGATGCTCGATTGACTAGGAACATGACCTCGCAACCTAGCTAACCACCTATTATTTAAGACCTAGTTAAATTTACCATTACTTTCATTACCTCACAACGACGGACTGACTGATTTAGATCTAGAAATTGCATCAAATTGTTATTATTTATTTTAATGTTCTGTATATAAGTTTTATGTCTTTACCTTGTCCTCCCTCTCCCAAACTTCCCTCCCCTTCCCTAGTCTTTCCTACTGATCATTAGATCATCACCCTTATTTTCTCTTTCTTTTTTATTAAACCTGTCTGAGTATGTTTCCGTCTCATTTCTCCTTTTTTACTTTTTGTAAAAAATAAAGAGTAAAAGTTTCAAAAATGTTCCTTTTTATTCGAAATTATTCCCTTCGTAGAAACTGAGATAAATAACGAAAACTGTACATAAAAACTGAGATAAATTAAGAAAAATACATATAAAAGCAGAATTAAGATTATGAAAAAGAAACTCTGGTAAAATAGCATACAAACAAAATTTTTGATTTGAGATCTGTTATGTGTGAGAAAAAAAATGACGATGAGAACATTAGCAAATTCTGAAATGTACTGATTACCTCACCATTTACGTAAGATATTTGCGGATTTCTTGGCTTCTAGCTTTAAAAAGTATAACATAGCAAATATATAAGTCTATCATGATAATTCTTGCGGTCCTGTGACGTAATTCCTTGAATGAAAACGATTACCAAAATAACTTATTCTCCTCCCACGCATCTTAGATATCAGGAAATTATGACAGCTTTCGGTTGCGCATGGAGTAGTGAAAGCAGGTTGTTTCATCTGTGTCAGATCTCATTCCTATAGTTTACCTTATGAAGTAGAAAATTTAAGAATTCGCTAATCTCTTACGCAATTTGTACGGTAGAGAGTTTGTTGTCATGGCAAGAAACTTTGTCATGACGACAAACTTTGTTCAAAAGTATCACTATAATTTTTTAGCCGTTTTTACGAAGACAGGCTTTGACTTTCAGTCCGGCTAAAATATGCGAGTAATCCATTATAAAGATTCTGTCTAATTCAGAACTCATAGTTAATTAGATAAATCTGTAAACTAACATTCTTTTGATTAATTTAAGTGGATGTAATTAGACTGCAGTTTCTCATCCATTTTATGTTTTCTTTTTTCAATATCAATCAGATAATAGCTACTGAAACAGAGACTCATTCATAACTTCAGGTGCATCAAAATTGCAAAACCTTGACCAAAAAGATAAATAGAAAGATTTAGACCGAATTTAGTCCAATTCAGTCATTTTGCGGTAAGGAACCACTATTTTGGGCTATTATCAGACGCCTACGCATTTTATCAAACGGCTAGGTGTTCGATGAAATGCCTGGGCAGATAATAACTTTTATTTGGCTATAAGCATATGGACATTTTATTTGAGACCTGATTCGTCTATCACCCTTGGACATATATCGATGCTGGAAATACAAAAATGCCTATCTCGATTACGAATTTTGACAATTTTCTGCCTTACTTTTTTTCCCCCCCAAAGAGTACGACTCAAAGTTTTTGAAGCGAATTTCACAAAAAAATACACTTGAAAGAGGGCAAATGATATCACATGGAAATTTGGGTACAAACAAATAAAAGTCATTACAAAAAAATCTGCAGCGTCCCGAAAGAGGTACATTCTTTCATAATTTCAGCATTAATTTGCAGTTTGTTAGGCATTTCAATTCCTATATTTACAATAATCACATAAATTATCTGCAACCTTCGAAGTAAAATATAGTCGTAACTTTTCTTAGAAATAGTACTTTATCGAGAGAAATTTGGCAGCATTTGAATGTTCATACTGCATTTTTCCATTGCATGATATTTCGTGGCTGTCAATGAATTGATAATTATTCAAATGTAAGTGATAGTTAGTTAGTTAGTTAGTTATTTTAATTTACGATGATCAGCAACCAGGTTATTTACGTCGGGGACCAGGAAACCTTAAATTTTTGCATTTAATTGCTTGAAGAGTTTTAAAATTTCGGTGACTATATTGGATCATCTGAGCTTAAAGGATGGTCCTCGTTGTCCATACTCGCAATATACACATTAATGAAACAAATGAACGGAAAGTAACCTAACCGGAATGGGATTTTGAAAGTGACCTTAGCGTTTCTAGCTTGGCATGAAAGTCCCCTTAGAAGTCCCTTTTTTACTGCCCGTGTCCATATAGGCAAAATACATATCAATGAGCCATATAGACTGTGAAATAAACCTTAGGAAAGGAACTTGAAAGTACCTCTACGTTTCTAGTTGTTCATTAAAGTATCCTTTGAGGTCCCTCTTATACTGCCCATGTCCACTTCAGGATTTGTATGGAGACATCCAGTCCACAACCATAATTCATTCAGCCAGGGATGGAAACTATGCCATCTTGCTGAGGGAAATCGCTGTGAGGCTATTACCAAAATTTCCTCAATAAAACACAGCTGTCCTGAAATATTTTGTTCCAATTTTTCAGGTGAGTTTGTTCGCAATTTCAATCTAAATCATTTGAAATCTTCGAAAAAAAGGATCCATAATTTTCCTAAACAAAAAGTATAACTTTATCGATAGACATTTGGCAAAATTCGAATGTTTGCACGGCGTTTTTCTATAGTACATGGAAATATATGCTTGTTAATGAATTGTTACTTCCTCAAGGGTATGTAAGAAGTCTTAGTCCTCATGTCCATTCAAGCATATACAGTAGATATCGGTTAATACGACATCGGTTAATACGACATATCGGCTAATACGACGAATTTCGTTTTCCCCGGCGAAACTCCATAAGTTAATACGACAACGGTTAATACGACATATCGGCTAATACGACAAAATCCCGTGACCCCTTGAATGTCGTATTAACCGATATCTATGTACACATCAACGAGAATAAATGAAGCAGAGTTAGCGCAAGGGAAAGAGATTTTGAAAGTGGCCTCTACGTTTCTGGCTTTGCGTTAAAGTCTCCTTGGAGGTCCCTCTCATATTGCACATGTGCATCCTGGGTTTTTTTTATTTTTGCGGTTTTAGTCTCATTTCAAGTTGATTTTGTGTTACGGATAATGATACGTACAACTAGAGACATACCGGTCACTCTCAAGTTCTCATTTCCGAGAGCTTATTTTAGTTCATTAACTCATTGAATTGTATTGTGCGTCTGGACATGTGCACGCACAATAACTGCATTTTCAACCGGGAAAAAGGAAAATTAAAGAGGAACAAACTGAGATAGCTGTTTTTTTTATACCAGCACATGACACACCCATCGTGACTGCAATAACAGCGATGAGGCTCAGCTTGTTTCTTTTCCATTTTTTCCGGTTTAAAATCAAAGACATTGAATAGAATACACCGTGCGCCGTGAAATTCAGCGGAGGCAACTTCTCTTTCATTCACATGACGCACCGACCGATGACTGCGGGAACACCGAAACGGCACCGGTGAGGTATGCAGTTGAGATACTGCGAAACATCCCGAGTTTTTTATTTAATGTTTTTATTTTTGCGGCCTTAGTCCTGTTTAAAGTTAATTTTCTATTATCGTTTTGGGCCAAGTAAGTGGGTTTTCTTTTAACCACCATAACGTGATGCTCAGAATCAAACTAGATGTTTGTTGAAAAATAGAGGTGAGAATGATAGACGTTGTTTTAAAAGTGTATTAAAAGATTCTTCACGCTTTATTGAAATGATCCCTACGTTTCACTATACATCAGTTTCATCTAGTAGTGATACGCGGACCGGTGGAAAACAGAGATACCTCCTCTCAGCCATCTTCAACGTCTTCATCTGAAAAATAATTCGAAAATACGCAATTTCTTTCTTCAGATTTGTTTTTTTTTTTCTACCAAGACGGCCCTGGCTTAGTGTGTTTTATCTCTGTTAATCCCCGGTGAGCAGTTGACCGTCATTCACATTTATTCTGAGAATAATCCGGACGCTGTTTTGAAGGATTTCTTAAGGAATCAATGCAGCTTTAAAGGAATTGCTGAAGTGTACGATACCTACAGGGATAACCCAGTGGCATGGCGTGAATTGCGATACATCGATTGTTATGCCATTTAAACCTATGGTAAAGAATCGATTATTAAGGTATTCGCAGAGAACACCTTAATAATCGATTCTTTACCATAGGTTTAAATGGCATAACAATCGATATATCGCAATTCACGCCACGCCGCTGGGATAACCTACGAGGCATCCCTTGTTACGAGTATTCAACAGAAATTAGTAGAGGACTCGGTTTCAATGCAGCACTCAAAAACCGACGGTAGGACTAGGTAAGCCTTCGCACAGGCTTTTCTTTTAGTAAAAGAGTGAAATAATGTCATTATTCGTAACATTTTATTACATAAATTGTGGTCTTGGACAAATTCCCATAATGGACGAATGTTAACAAAATTGGTGTGGATTTGCATTTGGGCCGAAACATTTATTGAACAAAAACCTGTGGTGGACACATTAGTGAAGAAGACGAATTGGACTACATTTTGCAATTTGGAACTATAAATTCTGGCTCTTCTGGAAAAACACTTATGTGCATAGGAAAACTAATGGCACATACGTCATTTTTAAACCGGGCTAGAATCTATAGGTCCAAATTGCAAAATGCAGTCCAATTACATCTCAATGGAAAAGAAAAACACATTGGATCTAGATTCCAGACTCTTGAAAACATCGACAAGGAAAAATCTCTTGATTCAATCGGATATTTGCTTAAATTAAGAACCAAGCCTCGTAATTTGAGCGGATTTCCTTTTGATTTAAGCAGAAATCTGATTGAATCAAGAGTATTTTTTCTTGTAAATGTTTTCAAAAGTCTGGACTCTAGATCCAATGTGTTTTTTTTTCCAGTGCTTGACGAAAAGAAAATCCTGAACCCGGATTGAAACCAGCTATTTTGGCAAATATCTTCTTTTTTTATACTCTCTCCGACAAGGTATTGTCACCTTCCGGCCAAAATATCACAATCGCCATGTGACGTTTAAAAATTTCCGCCGCCATTGAATTTTTTTACAGAGAAATTGTTGGTTGAATCTATTTGAAACTTTCTCTGAATTTTATCGGTAGCACAAAGAAAATTCAGTGAAATTTTCGGAAAGCTTCATTGAGAAATTTCTCTATAAAAAAGTAAAATGGTGGCGGAAATGTTTAAACGTCGCTTGGCACTTGTGATATTTTGGCCGGAAGGTGACGATATCAAAACAGGGCTCCATTCAGAATTTTCTATCTGCCTCTCATCCCTCGCTGACGAGGGGTAGTGAATTACGCCACAGTTCCCCTCAAAAACGATTTCCACCTTTTCGGGAGTCTCTTTAAAACCGCATATCACTATCAGCAACCGTTCCCGAGATAATAAAAAGTAACCATATCTTGGAGTAGAGGTGAGAATACTCCTATAGTGAGACGGTGTTCAAATTTCCTTCAAGTACACGAGAGACTACAAGCGGAACACTATTCGGAAGAAGTATACACAGACAACTGAAGGAGAAACATTCCTCGATTAGAAAGCAAACAGTCGTGGTTGGATCTCTTTCAAAGCTAACGAACTGCAGCAAACCGTCAAAATAGACCCATTGAATTTTACACGCGCACTCTCTTTAAAATACTTCAATGGTTGGAATTTAAATAGTGAGCAAATCAGATAATTGTAATTTTAAATTAAATAGTGACTTATTTGATAAGTATCGAAATCTAATGAGCTCAAAATGTGACAGGCTAATCCGACTTAGGGAACCAGAGTTTTAAAATAAACGACTACAAGCAACACGTAAAAATGTAAATTTTCAGCCTAGAGACAGAGTAATAACATACAACAAGGGTTGATAAATACTGACAAGACGTTTCCGTGTTTAAAAACCACCAGCAATTGGAGGAATGAGTTCAGTTTTAAGCTCAAATAAGAGATTCAACAATTCCCACAACCTTGATGTTCATTATGCATGCTGTTTATTATGAATAGTATTTAAATTTTATTAATTTTAATACGCCTATGGTTCATATTATTTCCTTAAGAGACTACGCCTTTTGGCCGTTAAGATTCCCAACCCCAGGAAAGCACTTCGCGCCATTTGAGGTCCCTTTTGCGAGCTCTGTTTAATTATTTCCATAAAGCGGGCTCTTCTAGGGACAATTATCTATCTATTAATAATATTGCAAAAGTCATGAATATTCACCCGATAAAGCGTCAGAACGAATTGTGGCAAAAAATTATAATTATTTAAATGGGAAAATTCACACAGAAGAAAATAGATGGTGCTGACGACAGAACCTTCTGCTCACAGGGCTCCTGCAGTTTCTTTGTTACACTTACTAAAAAACCTGGGTCACATTTCCAAACTCTAAATTTAGAGCAAGCTCATCTATAGACACTACACTCTATCGACAGCTAAGAAAATCATGGTAATCGGACCAACTGAACAGAAAACAAGCTTTGACCAAAAAAAAAATGAACATTTAGGGAGGCCGAGAGATCAATGTAATGATGTTATTTACAATTTACTAATTTTACACCGAAAAAATGGGTGCTGATTTACCGTGCTGGATGTAAAAAAGTGTGCGACAACTTACAAAACGCTAAATTAACTTCCACAGCAGTATTAGTTTTACATCTTGACATTCCTGAAGTAACTGTTGTAGTGGTTAATTCAGCGTTTTGTGAGCTGTCGCACACTTGTATACATCCAGAATGTTAACTCAGCATCCTTTTTTTCCGTGTAATATTACTGTGATTCATTTAACGTTATAACCTCTCACCTACTCAGCAGACATTTATCCGGTAAACGCCGAGTGAAAACAGAATACCTCTGAAATGGAGGACACGTATGATTCGAAGCATGACAAATTCCCGACTTGCAGCTTCTGGAGACACTTATCATCTCATTGACTCCGAGAAATACTCCAAGCTATGCAAACTCAATTTCATCCGGTCAACTTACGCATGACCGAGTGACCAACTTGTCCAACTATCTACAACTGCATCTCAATTTTCATCGGGGTAATTGCGACGATTTTCCAAAATGCATTATAAAACCTCATTTCATATCCAATAATGGTCAGTTGTGTACTCATAACTTTGATTGACGCATCCTCTCGTATAAACTCATCCGTTCGATCGTGTCGCGAATCACTCAAAATAGCCAATATGTATAATGTTGTATTTTACATTTTTTACCCGGTAGTTTTTAAATTGTGTGGTGGTTACATGATAATTACGAAACATATGCTCGATGCAGGTCTAGTTAAGCCTGAAAATTCCAGTTACGAACTTTTCAAAGGAGTTAGACACTCGTTTATGAAACGTGACGTGCAACAACATGTGGACATGACGGAATTCGGTGCAAAAAATTTGAATGGAAACACATCTTCAAGTGGCATCACTTTAAACGCGAATGAAAGTTACATTCAACAAGAAAGTGTGTTTGGAACTAATCAAGGAGCTACGAACAATAACTTATCCAAGGCTGAGAGTGAAATAGATAAAACACCAAAAGTAAAAGACGTTTTCAACACAGCGACGAGGAGGTGTAAAAAACTCGGCCCTGGACAGAACAATTCAAAGTGTTTGCTGATTCGAAGTAAAATTCGAACGTTTGAACCACTCGACACATCTCCGAGAGGGGCCTTGGAGGGAAGAAGCGTTGACAACTTTTCCAAAAAATCTGGAAAAGACGCGAGTCAGTTCGCTATTTTTAACGGGGAGAAAATTGTACTCAAGCCCGCTCCGAAAAATCACCAAGACCGTTTCAACTACTTTTTAGAGCCGCACTACAACAAAGAAAAAACCCAGTTGGATTCTTCGTCAAACCAGTTTGATGCTGAGAAGCAGCGGTTCAGAGCCGAGCAAAATCCAGATGCTTTTAGTCAAGAGTTCTTTTCAAACCATCAAACTGAGAACAGTGTCAGTACCAAGATGACATCATCGTCCGACGAGGAAGACGGAGGGCGTTTTTCGGAGCAGGCGAGCTCTGATGAAAGCGGCGTCAATGAGCAGCAACTAAACGACACAATTTGGAATAACGTACGTGATAACATTTTCTCATCCTTACGGCAACTATCGTCGAATCGATCAGAGAGTGCGCCCGACGAGGTTTTTTCGTCGCACGAGCTGTGTAATTTTCAAGATTATATTTTCTCATCAAGTCCGAATTGCACTTTTGGCCAACTGATATACAATCTAGTGGAGGAGTCGTCGTTTGTTCTTCAGAATCAAAATTTCTCCGAGCGGAATCTTCTAGACACGATGCCAGACACTAATTTCATCTCAGGTATGAGTTCAATTCAGCTTTTCGTGGTTCCAATCTTTAGAATGAAGTGAAGAGGGGGGCATGCGAAGGGATAATTGGACTACATTTTGCAATTCGGAACAACAATTTTAGGCTCGGTTCAGAAACAACTCATGTACCATCAGTTTCCTTACGTACATAGTATTTTTTAACGCTGAGTTAGAAATTGTAGTTCCTGATTGAAAAATGAAATTCAATTGTTGATTTGCTAGTTTGTGTTTTAGAATAACAATATATAACATAAGATTAGTTAGTTAGTTATTTTAGTTTACGACGATCAGCAACCAGGCTATTTACGTCGGGGACCAGGAAACCTTGGGATGGACATCAAGATCACAATACGCATAGCTACTTTTCCACAGAAATACGTCAAACATCAATACATTTGAATTTATTTCACAGTGGGATTTACATATTTTATGTTGTTCGCTAAGGGGGCTTCGCCCCCAGGCGCCTCGATGCCCGACACCTGTGCTTTATTTTATAAATTTATGATGAGTTCATCTTTACATGTTTTTTACCGGTAAAAGCAGGTAGAAATCATCAAAATAAAACATGAATGATCAGGATGAAGTAGGATACATTCCGTTGAAACGGGATAAACCGGGCTAGGACGGGACATATTGCCTAACAGCGGGACAAATTGTTATTGATCGGGATGAAAGGGGAGAAATCGGGATATCCTCTCTATTCTAATAAAATCATTTTTAAGAAACTCAATGGACTGGGTGGGGTAGGAGAGTAAGACGATCCAGAGGTCGAAGTCCAAAGAAGGAATCAAAATTCAGAGTAAGGAGAATAAGTCATTAAGAATATTGGTTGGCGGAATATTTTTCTTTGAAACATCGTTTTTTTATTAATTAAAATTATTTGCTAATTGACCCCATACAAGCGATTTCGACGATTTTGCTGGCCGCGAAGCGGCCTTTGGGGGCGCGCAGCGCCCCGGGGGTCAGGCCGCGTAGCGGCAAGGGGGCAGAAACCCTAGTAATGGAATAAGACGGTGTAAATCGTGATTAAACGATGTATCTGTAGTATAAGCTCTCAAGCCTCCTAAATGTTCGTCTCTGGTAACGCTTAGTTCTAGCATTCTCCCGGGCAATTTTCATGATTCTTGCGCCTATCGAAATGTGATTGGCTCAAGATGAGCCCGTTTCACTCAGATTTTGGAAATATGGCCCTGGTTTTTGTAAATGTGTCTATTGCTTGCAAGCAAGAGATACAGCCAACAAACACTTTTTCAGGGAGAAATCGCTCGAAAATCACGTCTGGCACATTAAAAAAGTCTGAAATCCACTCCTTAGCGCACAATCTGCGTAGTTTATAACACACTTTTTTCAAATTTACCGCGTATGCGGGTAGTTTTTTGTGGTGGCCGGCAGTCAAGTCTCCAATCTTTAAAATAAATTATAGATTTTTTGATTGGAAAAAAGAGCTAACTTCGCATACGCTAAAGATCCAACACAATGAAGTATAAGGGCATTTGCGTTGCATTCCATGAAAATGAGTACTACATTTATATTAGGTAAAAGAATTTCAAAGAATCTGTAAAAGCGCTTCATAAAACAATTTGCTCATTTTTCAATTTTGATTTTATTTTTCAGGACGGCGGAAGGCATCTTTGAAGTACATCACTTTTCTATTAGGCGTCTTGGTCGTCAAACTTCTGATTGTATTACCGCTGGTTATTTTAACGGCCGGTAAATCCATAGCCTTGAGTCTCCTGTCATTGGGCGTTGCTACCGCTAATGTATTTCAAAATAAAAATAATCTACCCTACATGAAGCGTCGAGACGAGGTTTCACCGTTCGCATACGACAAATTTTCTCTCGGACCCCATAGCTTTAGATGATTTGTGTGATCCATCCGATGAAACGTGAAATAATTGGTAGGCGCTTTAATAAAGTTCCAACCTCAAAAAGAGTCTTGATGTATTTATTTAGCAAGGGCCCACCTATGAGATATACTTTAGACACTAGGAAAAATGAGCATTGATATCGACGGTGAAACGGCAGGAATGCGTATCTCGTTTTGCGGCGTTGCTAACTTCTCGTCATATTTCATTTTTACATAAAATTTACAGAACATCATGTTTTGAAAACTGCAGTGAGTTTTCTGCTTTATGTAAAGAATATTCCGTAAAAAATTCAAACTATGATGTTTGTTTGGTACAACGTGAAAAAATAAAATAGAACCGGATATTCTGAAGCACTGAAATCGAGTTACGCATTTTCGTAGTTCCATCGTCGATATGTGAGTCAACAACAATACGTTACATGTAACAATACAATACATAAGTCGCAGGCAATTAGTAAAATCATGCATTTTACCAAATGCCTGGGCACATGGTCAATTTCTGACTGTTTACGAAATTTTGTAAATTTAGGACGAAGAGCTCACGATTTTTCAATATTTTGGAAGGAATTAATCATCCAAGCTACAAAATCTCTTTGTTCTTTCCTCCTCAAATGCTTATCATTTATTTAAACCTTGAAGTTTTAATCATTCTTTGTTTAATGGCACGGTGTAAATTTCAAGGTTAATGTTCGTTTAGGAACTAAAAAAACATAAAACACTTTTCTATGATGCACAATTTCAAGGAGAGTTCTTTCTTGTAATAGCAGTTAACAGTGTTCCCTAAAATTTGGAAAATATTCAGAATTTCAATGTAAGTATAAATTTTTGACTATTTGCTTAGACTTTTGACAAAAAGCCTGATTTGGCTATCTGTCTGCGACACATACACAATAACGAGGCTATTTCTAAAAAAACACAAAAAATTAAAATTATGTGAAAAAATGTTCAAATCTCTCTGAAACTTACTCAGGCGAGAATAAAAACCAAGAAAATGATAAGGTATTTATGGCGAGGTAAACACCATCTCTTGTTACCGAAAATATGTACTTGTCTTTCTCATGAATCAGCCTCAGAGAATTTCTTATGGACAATTTTTGATCAACTAGATCAACAGCAAGAGAGGGAGAGTGCGAAGCCTCATGTTAACGTAGCTCCCTAAGAAAGTTGCTCTCCCTCCAGTTTTCGCGCACTTATGCTGATTAACCTCAAACATAAAACTTGAGTATCCGCCTAATGTTCCAGAGAGCCATTAATTAACACTTCAAGCAATTAATTAATTTTTTATGATGTTTAATTAGTGAAAATAGCTTGTTTTCACGAGGGAGTGACGCAGATTAGAAGTTCGTTGTTCCAGCAAAAATAAACAATTCTCGACATGTATGAAAACTTGGCAAGTTTATAGCGTACTTTACCGATGCGCCGTTTTTGAAAGATGACCAAGGAAGATGTCGCCAGTTGGTGGCAATTCCATTACTTATATCTGGATCAAATTAATACCAAGATTATTCATGTGGAGTTGTGCTAAAATAAGTTATCTAAATAGGTATGTTTGCCGTCTTTGAGAGAATGTTATTCTTGCATGTCCCCATTGGTGAGACCTGAAGTTCAAAAGTCGAGGTACTCTTCAGGGGCCAAATACGATGGATGACGTCATCAATGTGTTTTTTTACCTTCTACATTGTATAATTCCTAACAATACTTCAAGTAGCCTCTTAAAGCCTCTAAAAGCCTCTTAAAAGTTGATTTCGTTTTGATTCAAGCAAAAATCCGATTGAATCAAGAGTATTTTTTCTTGTCAATGTTTTCAAGAGTCTGGACTCTAGATCCAATGTGTTTTTTTTCCAGTGCTCGTAACTTTTTTGCGTTCCGGGGTATGTTGCAACCCTAAACTAGAAGATGCCGTGGGCTACAAAAAATTAAATAACGCCAATTGACTTAACACTCCTTTGTATTCGACACGAATCGTATTTACGTGTGGTACCTGTGATCCACCGGTTCTTTCCGGTTGAATTTTAATAAAGTCATACTTCAGTTTGACAACGTGTCTAGAGTGCGTTTTTTTTAACTGCACATCCTCGGTACAGACCGCGAAATAATTGCACTGTTGCCGCTGTAGAATGCCGCGCAATCTGATCAGGGCTTCGATTTGTTGCGCACCCGATGCGTGAACATATCGTAATGTTCTTGCGAGTAATCTGCATAATTATTCCCGGATAACGTTCAATCTTGTTTTTGTTTTCCGGGCGCGACGTCCACTTGACGTCTTTTGTGGAGCGGCTCAGTCGCTTTTTTTTTCTGCACACGTGAAGTGATCCCTTAGTATTTCCTGCAGTGAATGTAGGTAAGTACCTATTCAATTTATTTTACCTTTGATGTACGAAGGATCTTAGTAGAACCAGTCCGGCATGATTGTAGAGCAGAAGATTTTGCTAGATTTATCGGTATTTGTAAATGAGGTGTCCTCTAAAGTAGCTTCCTATCTTTTATTTATTATTTTTCATTAATTTGCTACTCATTTGCATCTGCCGGGAGGTCAGGATTCAAAATCGGAAGCGATACGATATGAGCGAGCTCATTCTTATACACTCGTGGGGGTTAAAGACACACCCCCCAAAAAGAAAAAGAAAAAGAAAAACAAAAAAACTCTTCGTGTTGGTTGTATGAGAATCTGGGTTCAGGAAAACGACCGAGTTTCGTGAAAGGTATGAAAATTATTTTGTAAACCCAACTTGCTAATAAATTATATTTATTTCAAGGTTAGTATGGAATATCAAAGCTAGTTGAACATATTTCAACCTATTTTTGGACAATTTGCACACCTGAACTGGAAGTTTTTTTAGTATGTTCGTCTACATTCTTCAATAGTATCAATTTGTCAATCCGTATAGTGTTCATCAAGTTTACCGAGACCTAAAATGCGCCCAAAGTATTTGCTTTTTCGACTAATCGTAATTTGTGCTGCACCAAACGGCGATTTTGTGAAAGGGAAACTATTCGTTAAACGGGATGTTCCATCAAAATGAACAATTTTCGGATTTTTTATTTTTTCTTCCCCCAGAAAATATCCGTAAGTACGTTGGCAACATAAAAACCAAGTGTCTTCTGACTTGTGCACTCAAATTGCACGTGATAAGCAATACATAATGTTTCATTTTTATTCAAACAACGAATATGACGCACATTATATCAATTAACGCATGTGAAACCTACTATTCTTAAGAAATTGAAACTTCAGTTGCGATGTCGTATCAAACTTACCTATAGAAAAATATAGGACAATAAATTACGCAAATTATCTTCGATTTTCAATAAGATTAAAGTTTTAGAGGGGACATACTTTTTTCTATCTTAACGCCCATTATCTAATGAAAAGGTAAGTCTATTTTTCCTTAGTTTTTCTCCTCGAAAGTTTCAATCAATTATCAAAGAATTCCGCATAGTAAAATCTTCTTCTCTTATCCGACGAACAACAAGGGCACGGTCCTGTTTGTCAAACTCTCGAATACCTCTTTTTCTACGAAAGTTGGTAGTGTCGCCTATAGTGCGGTACAAATCAGCATAAAGCTGAAAATCTCAATATCGTATAAGCAATACATCTCAATATTCTTTAATCCTCTTTGAGAGAAATTGTGCTCATGTTAGCTTTTTCCTTCTGTATTGAGATTTTCAGCTTTATTCTGATTTGTAACGCACTTTGGGTACACTATCGGATTTTTGTCTGAATGACTCGTGCATCTACCGCAATCAGTATCAAGGAAACTTTCGTTACGACATGTTATTTTTCGGTGTCACAGCACATAGTTTATTTGGTAAAATAATGTTCATTGGCGTGGCGGGTTTCTTCTTCATCATGACAAAGGTAATGTGATGAAGTACCTATGATGTAAATAATGAAGTTCACGCATCTATTGGGGATTTGCGATTTCTGTATTTCTTTGCCCTCCATTCCCTCTGAAATCAACGCCTAACCTCAAAAAAAAAGCAATCTACATTCAAGCCGTAATGGAAGGAGATACCCACCGTTACGTTGAGAGTCCATCTCTATACCTGGTCAAAATCTCCATGCACAGATAGAAAGAAAATACATTAGCAGGGTTACTACTTTGTTCAGGGACTCCAACACTAAAAACACGGCAACCTTGCTAATGTATTTAATCTCTAACTTTGCATGGAGAGTTTGACTCATTGATATAGAGGTGAACTCAACGTAGCGTGGTATATCATATCCCCCTCTATTACGGTCTGAGTTTTGATAGCTTTTTTTAAGCTTGGGAGTTAATTTCAGAAAAAACCAGTGCCACCATCATGTTCCTCGCAAAATTTTACATAAAAAGAACACTGGAAAAAAAACACATTGGATCTAGAGTCCAGACTCTTAAAAACATCGACAAGAAAAAATACTCTTCATTCAATCAGATTTAAGCTTAAATCAAGAACCAAGCCTCTTAATTTGAGCGGATTTCCTTTTGGTTTAAGCTTAAATCTGCTTGAATCAAGAGTCCTTTTTCTTGTCAATGTTTTCAAGAGTCTGGACTCTAGATCCAATGTGTTTTTTTCCAGTGAAGTACTTAAAACGCAAACTCCTGACATACGCAAGAACTCTATTGTAATTAATGTAGTATAGTGAAGTAATGCATCCAATCTCTCGCATTGTGACAGGACGAGTTCAGTTGTATGCAATTTTTAATCCACTATTTTCTTTTTGAAAGGAGGTTCGGATGCGGGCCGCTGCATGGAATACGAAGATGCGAAAGTTTATTGATCTCATAGCACTGGGCGAGGGAGAACGGCAACAATGAGGTAAACTATAATTGCATAATTTCCTATTAGATTCAAATGGCCAGACGGAGGGAGTGACCAAGTTCAGAGTCATTCTCTTGTTCTTGAAAACTTAATTAGTGCACGTAACTCATCGGAACATACGTTTTATCGTCTCATCAATTGCATTACATTTCACGCAACCAGTACTCCAATGCAGCCATTTTGATTCTATCCCGAGCGTAATAACTTCATTGCGAGTGTCTCGTTACCAAACGGAGTCGCAATATATTATTTTTGGTCGTTCACTGCCTATAAATAACAGAAGTTTGAGGTTGAATAATCAGTTTTCATCTCACATATTGATGGCCGAAGTGCGAAATCACGTATCTCCTTTGCGGTGTCTCAAAATTTCTGCTCCTATTTCATTTTTTCGAGGAGGAACAACCAAAATTTCTTGTTTGTAATTCATGCCGAATATTCTGGTGACATAAAAAAAACCAAGGGGGTTTTCAAGAAATTACGTCATCTAGCAATTCTCCAAAAATTAAAGTATAACAGGAAGTCTGCAACATTGCAAACAAAGATACTTGGTTACTGTAGCCACCGATATTTTCCTCTTGATGCGTACTCAAATACAATGTTCATTCGTTTTGCAGGCTCTCGAAAGTTTTTATCATTTCAAACTCTTTTTTTTCTTAAGCTCCCTCAATCAATAGACCATTACGTAATACATACATACGAACAGGTACAGTAGCCCTGTAATAATAAATATGCCGGCGGATGAAGTGCGACATTAATAATAACGGCTGGATACAACTATTCGTACTCCAGCATTGTCTTTGATGCATATACAAACAATTGAAGGCGTTCTGACTTTTCTTTCCTCTTTTCCAGCGATGCAGGTGGTATTCGGGTGGGCATATTTTATTGAGTTATGACTCTGATAAATGAAGATTGAATGGGTCAGTTGCATTTCTTCAGAATCGTGTTTTGATGTTTGATTCTTGTGGATTAGCTGAAAGTAACGGGATCTGTCCAAATCGCAAAATTCTACGTTCAATATTAACTGAGATATTACGCTCTGAAAAATTCTGTCTATGATGTCATCCACCGCGAAAATGACAGCCTTGGTTTCTTCCACCTTCCTTTCATTAAACAGTAAGACACGCTTTTGCAACGTGATACTCGGATGAAAGCAAGGTGGAAGAAACCAAGGGTGTCACTACCACGTCGGATGACGTCATAAACCGAGTATTTCAGAGCGCGATATCGCGATTATTATTGAACAGTGCTGAAAGTTGAAAGTTGCCGTTTGAACCGATCTTATTTTTGATACCTGATCTACAAAAATCAAGCATCAAAACACGATTCTGGCACCAGCGCAACTGGCCGATTATCCTCAGATCAACCTGTTATTAAGGGAAATCTCGATTTTCCAGAAAATTGATAAATTGAAGGAAAATTCAAAGAAAATGGTTCCTCAAGTGAACGCTAAAAATTACATAAGAACCAGCTCTCTTATCCATGGCGTTTAAAACAAAATTGTAAACGTCCGCAATCTTCACAAAAATGAATTCATACTGTAAACCTGTGAGGATTTTCTACATTTCACAAGGAGTAAAATTGTTTCTAAATTGTTAAATATATCTTTATCAGGAGCTCATACATCCTTTGCTCAACGGTGATTCTTTTGCTGCTTTGGATGAAAACAGAAATAGCATTAGAGGCGAGCAAAATCAAAACTGGGGTTGAGATTTTCATGAAGTTCTACAAACCATGCGTGACTGGATGGAATAGCACCAATTGTTTTCGGGAGAAAACTGTGCATCAACCAGACCCCGTACACACGACCAACCGCACTTTACCACAAACAGGTTTGTAAGCCAATAATGTATAAAGCTTCATAAGACAAGTATTTTTTAGATATGTGTTATGGATCAAACAGTATAGCAAGGAGTCGCGAGAAAATTCTCGTATCACTACAGATTCTGGGATAAAATACGATCCAAAGTGAAATGATTTTCAAACTTTACTATGAGATTTTCCAACAGTTCGATACGTGGGAAATGTGAAAATGACCATGTTTGAATCCATACCGCCGACCATACAAAAATAGACAGAGTTTTGATATGCTCGTAGGTAAACGTAAATGCATTTTTGAGACTATGAAAACTACCGCGGGCTGATTATTGAAATTGATAGACAAAACGACAGACAAGACTACAAAAGGAAAACGGAGTGATCTTATTGATGGAAGCGGGTGGTTGCCGCGCACAAAGGAGGTAGATATAATGGCAACCCAAAAAAGTCCCTTCAATTAGTCGATCATTTTCCCCCTAGTCTATAACGGTCACCCGTTTCAACTGATAGAATCGCTCCATTTCCCTTTAATCATCTTTGTCTATCAATTTCAATAATCAGCTGGATGGCAGCGTATAACTTTACGGAAGCAGCTCACCTCAGTCTTAACAATTGAGGCGTGCGAGAAGAAAATCATTTTTGTGCGTTGTTCTTGTGAGTCTTCATATTTTCTGCAATACATGTATATTGTTTGTTTAATTTTTTTTTTTTTCATTTTTTAGTTAAATTGATCATGACTACATAAAACCGATGAAAAATGTATAAATGATTGCCATGTTTATTGTCTCATAGATAAAACAATGCCAGCCGAGGACCCACCCCCACAAGACAACGTAACTTCTACCAAAAGGAGCCAGACTAATTATGCCGTGGGCGCAAATTTAAACTTCACACTTATTGGTTTAGTTCGCAAGATTGTGCGATTATTCTCAACGGTTGCGACCTCCGGCAAAACTACGAATCCATCCATGGCCAGGTCAAGTGCACCTACCGATGATCAACGGAAAGACGAAAAAAATTCAGCTATCAAGGGCAAGAAAGTTCAGAAAGATGCCTCAGAATACTCCGAGGACAATAATTACACGGAGGAAGGTAAAAGAGTTATCAAATTTCCTAAAATTTAACAACGGTGATTGAGGCACACAATAATGAAAATGCAAAGAGGATTTGCGATGGCACCGGCTTCGAAGGTGTATCCAGAAGGAAGTTCCCAATTTCACAACTCAAAAATTATTACAAATGCAGATGGTAAAAAATGCGCTCTGTTGGTCATATACTTTACAGGCGTCATGTACATCAGGCGCTAATGTGCGTTTCACGCCAACTAACGGCTGCACTGTGTTTGGCGCAATGCGAGAAGTATTCATGCAGTCTTGTAGGCGCTAATATGGGCTTCAAGCCGATCGCACTGATTGGCGCATTGCGTGAAGTATTCTTACAGCCTAGCAGGCGCTACTATACGTTTAACGCCGACCGCTTTGTGTTTGACGCGATTGTTCGAACTCGCGTTAGAATAATCGCGGCATCGAATAATAGAGAATAAAATGCCCATGTTGTGTTTCGACGCCGTGTGAGCAATCCAACGTTTCCTCGTTTCTCCCGATTAAATATTTTTCCAAGAAAAGTTAGGAAAGTCTTTTCACCCACGACCATTATTCAATCTTTTCACTTCATTTATCACCATGAAGGTAACACATAAATGAATTGTCAACAAACTAACCTATAATAGCGTTAATATAAAAATGCGTTTATCTCCAAACTGTTTCCTGTTTAGCTTTTCTACCTTGATTTAACTTCATTTTAAATTCGCACATTCCTGTAGCAGATGTCAAGGTTTCTATCCTCGTTCTATCAATCATTATGTCTTTTTCGCGCAATCCTCATATATTTCTTAGAACTTTCGCGCAATCCTGGAAAACCGTAGAACAATCATAGACATAATTTCAAATCCTGCTATGTAAAGCTGATAGTGTGAGCAACTGATCTCATCATGTAAATTTGCTCCATCTACTATGGTTTTTGAGATAGAGAATGGGCAACCCGCTTTTGGGTATACTTTTGGGCATTTATTGGTAAAATTTTGCAGGAAATATTATGATCCCCATAACGTTTTCTTAAAACAATAAGCAGGCAACGAGAGGTTTTCATGGGCGACTGTATTGTTGAAACGACTCGTAATTCATGATAAAACAAGAAACCTTCATTCCGTTGACCTCAAAGAAGAGCTATGAATTTAATCACCACGTTTACACGATCACTCTCCAAAATTTGAAGTAGAAAACGACGGAAGCTCATAAATTATACTTTGAGCAAAGTTTTAACATACATACATACGAGTCGCTGTTATAGCGCTCTTTGGCGCTTTGCGACACCTAATCGCCACAAAGCTCGGTCTTCCCACAGGTTATCAGGGAGTTGACACTCCCTCATCTCACTTAACACCCCCTGTCGCCAACCTCTCACTGGGCGTCCCCTACGCCTCCTCCCAGGAGGAACCCAATCAAGCATCTTTTTTG